GCCCATTCACTATGGCCTGTGGCTTCTATTTCAATCTACAGAGATCGGGGCAGCTTTGAACATTCATGTTCAGTGTTATGTGCTGAAAAAAAAAGGCAAACTCTATGTTAGGTAGAGTTGTAATTTCACAGACTTCCTCTCTGCTCCACAACGTATGTGGAAATGCTTGTTTTCTTTGGGCTTTGTTAAGTTCAGCATCAAAATGAAAGGAATTTTTTTAAAATGGGGATGAAGCTAGGGGGAGGGTCAGATCCAGTGACTTCACAAACACAGGAAACTCCAGGATGAACATATTCCCTCCACCAGGACAGGTCAACACCTTCTCCACAAATCAACCATTCATCGAGAGGTGCCCAGAACCCAGGCACACAAAGGACTCAGCTGCTTATGCCACCCGGCTGTTTCAGCCTATCAGTCAATGGATATTAATTTAATCAAATTAATTAATTTAATCAATTAACCAAATAAATATGTATTTGAAATAAACTAGCTCGTCCCAGGGACTGACAGCATGGCGGAGGATTTGGCACAGAAATCTGGGGCCACCGGTGAGGGCAAAGGCAAAGCAGGGCCACAAAACGCACCGGGGGAAATGCCCTTAGTGGGCCCCACTTTGGGCGGAATCCGCGGGATTCGGCAGAGGAGGCGTCGGCTCACTCGGCTCCTGAGCGAGCCAGGGCCTGTCCTCGGATCCCTACAGAAGGCGGTGTGGCGGTTGGGTTTCTCGGTGGCGCCGGGGATCCCTTCTTTCCCGATTCTCTGCTCCGTCACTAAAGTCACAATCGCTTAAGTAAAGAGAAATGAGCTCAGTGAAAAAGAAGGGATGGCTGATGGATGGTCCTGGGCTCCCCAGCATCCTGGCGATATTAGGCAGAGACGAGGGAGGGCCTCAACGTACAGGAGGGCACGGCCAAGAGCCACAAAGGACAGGCTGCAATCTGCAACAGTGGGAGGCTGCATGCCCACACAGAAGGGATGGAGGCTCCAGGGGCACACGTCGGTCACCGTGACCCTCCTGACACGGTCTGTGTCCCAACCACCAAGCCCCGATAGAAAGCCGGCGATAATCCGGCCTCCAGGCTTGGCCTTTGCAATGCCGAGCATTGGCTCGGTTACTTGGATGACACTGACATCTAGTGGCGGGAACATGTCTAGGCTGTCCTGAGATTCACCACACACACGCGCACACTCTCGTGCTCAAACACATCCCTATACGTTCATATACACATACACTCATACACACTCGTACAGACACATACACACATTCATCCCTACACACCCATTCCGCACATACACTCACACACACTCATATCCTCATATCTACTCATACATACATCAACCCACACACACTCATATCCACTCATACACATATCCACAACATACTTATATCCACACTCACACTCATGCTCAAAGACATCCCTACACATTCATATGTACATACACCCCATACACACCCAATACATACTCATATACCCTCATGTAGACACATACAAACATTCATCCCCACACACCCATTCCCCACATATACTCATACACACCTATCTACTCATACATACACACATTTACACTCACCTATATATGTTCAGATAGACACATCCCCACATACTCATAAACACATTCACCCCCACACTCATATCTACTCATATATACACACTCAAATCCACTTATACACAAATAATCCACACATACTCATACACACTCATAGACACAGTCCCACACTCACCCACAATATACTCACATACACTCATATCCATGTCCCCACACAGTCATCCACACTTATACAGATACACACACATGTCCACGTGCTTACACTCAGACACATACACACACATACGTGCTCACACTCACACTCATACGTACATTCCTATGCATGCTCAAACACACACACACCCCTTCCTACACACCCCCATTTTTGCTCAGCCTCAAAGCATGCTATTGGCCAACAAGATCCCTTTTTGCTGAAATGCTGAGGTGAGCCCACCGTCATTTTTGCCTCCCCCACGACGCGGCTCTGCTTTTGTTGATGCTACTATTCTGCTGACAGTCGCTGAGGCAATTCTCAGAGGATTCTGGTGCTAGAACATTTTGGTATTTACCCGTTTTCCCCCAGTGAATGGCCTCATTAATAAAGCAGAGCCCCCCATCTGCCTACTCCAGGAGGACGCGGGGAACTTGGAGCCCCCTTCCAGGCCCAGCCCAAGGGCCACCCTCAGCAGGAAGCCCTTCCTGGCCCCTCCAGATGTTCCCGCTCCCAGCCCCGCCTTCGTTTGACTTGGCAGACACGTCCGTAGGGCAGGAGCTTTTGTCCTTGCTGTCCTCAGCACCGAGCACAGTGACCGCCACACAGAGTCACAGACTCAGAGCTGGGGGAGATCCCAGGTTCTCGTGTCGAGACTTAAGGAGGCACCTTGGAAGCCATCTCCATCAGTCCTTGAGTTTTGCAGATAAGGAAACTGAGGTTGGAGACGAGACAACCTGCCCAAGGTCATCCCGGTCCTGAGGAAAGGTGCAATTGGACATCGAGTCCTTTGACTCTGAGAGGCGCAGCCAGAGTCCAGGTCAAATCTCGCCTCTGGCTTGTGCTGACCGTGTGACCGGCCAGACGACTGTGAGCCAGCTCGGGGGCTGACCCCCACTGACGGACAGAGCTCCCTCCTCCAGGCCTTCCTCAGAGCAGCTCCCCTCCCCCCGGGCTCACCCTGTCCCTTTCCCACTGACTTGGAAGCCGGCCTTCTTTGCACAGAAGGTGATTCATTATCACTTGGTTGAACGAGAAGTACCGGGGTCCTCCTCCTCTTCCTCCTTCCTAACCTTATTCTTATGATCAGAGAAAGAGGAGTTACTGACAGAAGGTGCATCGAATGCCGCACGAGCTGATGAACTCAACCACAAACTGCTTTTCATCGGCGAGGCAGGGGGTCCTATTCAGAATGTAGGACGCCCAAGAGGTCTCATCCATCACCACCAAGACCCTTCTCACTGGAGGATCCTGCTGGCCCTCCACGGATTCTCCTGTATTGGGAGTCTGGCTCCCGGGAGGCCCTGAAGAGGCTTCTGCTGGCCTCCTGACAGGGCCAGGGTGCCCACACTGCAATGGGGAGGGGGGAGGTTAATGACCAAATGGGAAAGGAATTGGGCATCAGTCGGTGGGTAAGGACTCCTCCTCCCACTTCCTCTCTACTCGTCTCTCTTACATTCTTTCCCAAGTTTCAGGAAGTACATTTTTTTTTTTTAAATCAAGAGCCAGAACTTTGAACTTCTGCTGCCAAAATCCAAGCCTCACTTCCTGGCCATCTTGGCCCACTTCCTGGCATGTCTCTGATCACCCCACCAACATGGACGCCAGCCCTGGAAACATTCTGGGCTCTCACAGGGGAGCTTTCCTCTTATCATGCCTGGAGAGAGGCCTCCCCAGTACTTTCCAGCCCTCTCTATGCCACGCATACCTCTCCTCCTTTCCAGCTCTCCTGCAGGTATCTTCTCCTCCACTAGAATGTCAGCTCCTAGAGGGCACGGACTGTCTTGCCTGCTTCTATTTGTATCAGTGCGTGGTAGTGTAAATCTGAACAAATTTTCACTTTCTCTCTCTCTCTCTCTCTCTCTCTACTTTATCTACCCTATCCACCTGCCTATCTATCCATCTATATCCTATTTGTCTATTTATCTATCTATTGCCAACATGAACTGACCTTGAAGAAATGGCTGTCGCTTCTGAAAGTCAATACCACCAAGGACATATCCTCTAGTGCTTAGGAATCCTCGGTGGCTCTCTCTTGCCTCTGGGCTGAAATACCAGCTCCTAAGGCTGACATTTACAGCCCCCTCCACTGCCTGGCTCCAGCCTCTTTCCAAGCGCCTCACTGTGCGCTCCATACCACCTGGGCATCCCTCACTCCTGTGTCTGCCCCGGCCTGGCCTGGCATACTCTTCTCCTCTCCCTCTGCCTCCAGGGCTGGCGGCAGCTCCAGCACCATCTCTTTCCACAGCCCTCTCCTCTGTGCCCCGTTTGCCAGGGGCCCCAGCCCCTTCATTGGGAATCTGCTCCAAATTTATTTTATGTTTATGTAACCTCTCAATAATGATAGCATCAACTTCACAGGGTTATTGTGAGAAGTAAAGCAACACCCTGAGGGCCCTCTGCACATCATCCTGAGCTACAGAAGCATGAGCTATTCTGATTGACCTCTCTGTGCATCCGCTGCTCTGCTCCCACCTGCGACCCTCCCCCAGCCAGGAGCCTGTGAGGTCTCGGGGACACAGACGGGTTCATCTCTGTCTTTGCATCCCTCGTACTTCAAACAGTGCCTGACACATAGTAGGAGCTTAACAAATGCCTGCCAAATTGAAGTGGATGGATGTTAGCTTGGAAACGTCCCGAGCAGTGGCCGATCTGGGCAACTATGGGGCTCCGGGTGCCTGAGCCACTGGGGCTAGCCAGGAGGGCAGTGGCCCTTTCTGCATCCTTGGGACTGGAGGGGACCAGTCCCTATGGACTCCTAGCTGCTTCTGAACGGCCCTCCCCTAAGGAGGAGAAGCATCACTTTGGGGACTGTGAGGCCCTGTGGTCCTCCAGGATGGTGGGACATCGGAGCAAATCTGCCGAGTGAAATGGAGGAAGAGTAGGGTCTCTGCCTCCAACCAAAGCAGCTGGCCTGGCCAGGCCTTCAGAACTGAGAGACTGTGTTGAGGGACACAGCTTAGCAATATCTCCAGCGGGAATCTGGGGTGGTCTCATTTCAGGGTCATTAAAAATCAGGGCTTCGGGAAAAAAAATCAACACCCACCAACACTACGTGGAGTCATTCCATTGGGTTTGGTTCCTTTTCTTTTCTTTTTTTTAATGAGCCAAGAGACGGGTTTTCTAAGGGCCTCATGACTCCATGCATGTTCCTTTCCTTTGGACTGATTCAGCCAATAGGATGGAATCACACGGCGCCCGGCGCTCAGCCGCCAGGCCCTCTAGCGCACGCGCCCGCACTCTTTTGGGGGTTGACACTCACTGTGAATAGGTTGGATCGCCGCTTGGACTGCTTGCGGACGGGAGTCGGAGTGTTGGCAGTAGGAGGGACATCGATTCGGAGCTCTTTCTGGCTGGTGCTTGGAGTGGACGGGACGGAGGACGAGTAGTCACTCAAGCTCCCTCCTCCATTACTCGTCTGCAATGATTAAAACCAGGCGCATCCGTCAGTGAGGCGCTCTGTCCGAGCACGCTCGTGTCTTCACGCGCCACATTCAGTCATTCAACAAGCATCTGTTAAGCATCTGGGATGGGCTAGGCACTGGGGACACAATGACCGCCAGGAGACACAACCCCTGCCTTCCGGGAGCTTCTGGTCTACGGGCTGGCTGAACCTTTGCCAGCGCAGATGACAGGGGCTGGACATAGGATGGAGAGGCTTGCCAATGTTCCCGCCAGAGAGTCGGGTCCTCCACTGGCCTGACTGCCCCTCCCCCCAGGCCCTTCCCCCACTCCCCTGCATTCGTGGCCTGCTTCTCTAAAACACTACTCTTTAAGCCATAGGTCATCTCTACCTCATCACAAAAGGCTCCTTGGGCCTAAGACAAGCTTCCCTCTCCAAACTCTCTCAACTTCCCCTCCGTGTTTTCAGGAATGAAAAGGCCTGGACTAATGGAAGGGGTGCTGGGTCGGGAGTCCCAGGCTGCAGGCGGGGAATCCCTCCCTGTCACTCCCTGCGTGGCTGTAGACAAGTTACATCACTTGTGCGGGCCTCAGTTTCCTCACCTGCCAAATGACGGGCTGCAGCAGATGGCCTCGAAGGTCCCTCTCAGCTTAATGTCTACAGTCTGATGAGAAAGTCTTAACTGTGTTCAAAGCAAAAGCCCTTCCCCCTTCTTTTAAACACAAACCGCTGTATCCACTGACAAAACTGGATTTAATGGCCTCAAAATGTGGCCCCTTGGGGGGAGGTAGTTTTTAAGTTTCCTGACACAAACAGGCATAAAAATAGTAAATCTCATTCAAATTATTTCCTTTTGACTTTGTGTATATTTTGTATCTGTGTATATAAAATGCATATAGTTTCCTCCCAATAAAATATAAACCTCTGGAGGGCAAGGGCTCTTCCCTTTTTGTTCTATCTCCCCAGAGCCTAGTACAGTGCCTGGCACACAGTAGGTGCTCAGTAAATGCTTGCTAACTTGAGGGTCCCCCAGGGCACTCCTCCCACACCGTGTGTTGGGCCAATAGCCATTGGATTTCCTGAGCCAGGAGTGGGGGCATCATCGTGACCTTTTCCTTCCTGTGCTCATGCATCACGGCATTGGACCTGGGTTCAGGTTCCGCCTATGTGACTCTGGACAAGTAGCCTAAGCCTTCTCAGCCTCCGTTTCCTGCTCTATAAGACAGTTTGGTATTAGCACCTTCATCACAGGCTTGTAAAGCTCCGAGGTGATCATGCAAGGAGAGTACTTTGCAAACCTTCAAACAATACAGAAATGGAAGCTATTCTCTCTTGAGAACATGAGGACATTTGCTATCTGCCTTAAGAAGGTGGTGGTTTTTCAAAAGCAGGCCCATCTCTTCCCTCATCCCCCGTTTACATCCTGCTCTGATACCTCTTCCAGGCAGGCAGGGGAGCCTGGGATCTCAGGGCACAGACCCGGGAAACACTGGCTTTGGCAGGGCTTTGAGAATAGGGCTGCATGGGCAGGGATCGGTCCTGCCCTGGCCGGGCTGCACCTGGAGTGCTGTGGTCTGTTCTAGGCGCCTTTTATTAGCAAGGACATCAGTCAGGCCGAGGGAGAGGGAGGGTTGGTGACCCAGGCTGGGGAAGGGCTTTTGAGCTCATGCCACACGGGATGATCGCTTCCGTGATGGCATTTTTGGCCGTGGAGAGTCACAAACGATGTGGGGCCGCTATAAGCAGGAGAGGAGGGGATGTCCCCGCCGAGGAAATAGAAGCTTTCACAGCCTCAGAACCAAACAAAAGGATGCCAGCCCCTCACATCCTCAGCCTCTGGCACTCCTCTGTAAATAATTCTGCCGATTTCACACTCGTCATGGAAAGGGGATTACTTCTTCCAGGAGGAAGGCAGAGGAGAAGGCAATTGTAATGAAATAGCGTTCTATAACACACGCGCAAAACTCAGATCAGCCGGGGAGGTCGGCCAACGACCGACCGTTCAATGGCTGAGCCGCCAAGAACCGGGACCGAGGTCGGCTAATTGGAAACGACACAGAGAGCGTTCACGCAACTCGGCCCCTGACCAGCAGCTCAACTCGGGTCGGCAGGAAACATGACGTGAGCGGCAGGGGGAAGGAGAACAGGAAAGGGATATTCCCAATAAAATAACAAAAAAAAAAAAAATAAAGCAGGTGGCCACAGCAGCTTCTGAAAGCGATGTCAAATCAATTCCAAACGTGCTGTTATTTACCACTGCGATCATAGCAGAAAGCGGAGGGGGCCCACTTGTAAGCAGTGGCCAACGGCGTGTGGGAAGGCCCTGCAGGCCCCATTAGTGAAGGGCTTTGCCTGGCAAGGCCCCAGGAGCCCCTGTCCTCACCTGGCTGATGTGCACAGCAGAGGCCTGGGCGGGGCACACCGAGGAGTGGCTGGGGGAGTTGGGTAGCGACTTGCAGGGCCCTATGGAAAGCTGCTGCTTCTTCCTGGTGGCGACAATCTTCTGAGCAACTGCAGGATGAAAAGACAAACCAAAACATAACAGTGTATCACAGTGGCAAATGACCATTACCTTCATGAATAAAGCAAGCACAAAGGACCTCTGGAAGGCATGGGATAATTATTTTTATCATATGGGTCACCCTGCAGGAGCATAGTCCAAGGCAGGAAACAGAAGTGAAATCCCTCCCAAGAACTTTTCTTTTTCAAATCTATCACTGCTTCAGTACAGGGAAGCTTTAGCTTACTCAGGATGTATCTAACCTGCTCCAGTCATAACTTCTCTGGGAATACAGGTTCTCTAGGAAAGTATGCTGAATTTAATTGGAAAGGAAGCCAGCAATTAGATAGCTCTTCCAACACCAAGAGGTGTCACCGAAAGAGAATACCAACAATTTGGGCCTGAATGGATATAATGCAGCCTTTAGGGACCTGCTGTAATTAAGTTTAATAGCATTCAATCCCTGTCTTATTCAGATAGTTTTTTTTAAAGGCTTATGCAAATGAAGAGCCCCCCCCACCCCCAGCAATATATTATAACTTAGGAGATATTGTTCACCAGTGTTTGCAGACAATTTCTTTTCAAATGAAGATCATTTTAATAAGGAACTGGGTTTGTCTGCAGCTTATGTTTTCCATGTAAATGAATGATGGCATAACCATGATTTAGTGAGAACACAACATGTAAAAAATGGCCCGTATAGAAGAGGAAGCAGCTTCATTAGTCACAACCCGCCTCCGATAGGCCCCTTATCATCCTGAAAGGATGATATCAATTAATTTATCTTTCTGTAGGGTATTGATCATAACCTCCATCAGCTAATCATCTTTAAATTACAGAGGAATATCGCAGCACTTTGTCATCCCAGAACCATTGGCGTATCGATCGCAGATCGTCAGAGACATATATTAGAATATTTTAAAAATCATTATAGGAAAGCAAAGAGCAAATCTAAGGTCAGGTTCTAATAGCTGCTAAATATGTGTATTCTGTGTAGATGTTAAGGTCTGAATTCGGACCCAGAGTGAGCAGATTAAACCCCATGAACACTGGTTGCTACCCCTATCTACTAGCACATTTCTCAGCAAAAGAATGAACAGATTTTTAGTTATCAAGCACACTTGAGGTTAATTTCAATCAAAGGCTAGACAGTGCAACCACTTGGCCTGATGAGTCCTTCAACTTGGATTTTTAAAGCTCCCACAAAATGTAGCTATGAGTGGAGGAAGGAGAATTCCCTCGACGTTTCACAGAGGGTGTCTCTCCTCTGAGACCGGGAGACCAGGGAAAGTGACGTTAATGTGAAATTTAAAATTGCATCTAATTTTGCTTAGTCCTAGATGAACATCTATGTCCCACTACTCTCAACTGAAAAGGGGAAAAGGGGCGGAGAACATGCAGGAAGGAAAATCTGAATGTAGAGTTAAAAATGGAATGGGAGAGAAGGAAATCCAGAAGAGACTGTCACGTGTTAAAGTGAACGAACCCCTGTTCTGTGTAATTACGTTAACACTAAGGAGACCAACATTTAGCACGTGGAGAGGCAATGTTGTAGTGGATAGTGGATGGAGGAACTAAGCTTGTAGTCAGGAAGACCCAAGTTCAAGTTCTGTCTAAAATACAACACACATCTCAATGCCCCACATAACTCTCTAAGGTGGTCACAGACACGTTGCTGGATCCGCAGTGGTGCAGCCCCTGGAGTTCCACCATATTGAGGAAATCACAGGGCTGTTCTCTACTGTCACTCTCAACCCCATTTTTTTTTTTTTTGGGCTAGGCAATGGGGTTAAGTGACTTGCCCAGAGTCACACAGCTAGTAAGTGTGATGTGTCTGAGGCCAGATTTGAACTCAGGTCCTCCTGAATCCGGGGCCGGTGCTCTATCCACTGAGCCACCTAGCTGCCCCCTCAACCCCTTTTTTAGGACCAAAAATGAAATTTCCTCCCCATCCATCTCATCCTGCCTCTCTGAAAAAAAAAAAAAAGGCAACAGATCAAATTAACAATATCTTTCCCATAGCTGCAGTGAGAAAGGGCTGGTTGTGGAATGATGGCTAAGAACCATTTCTGCCTCATCTCTCTGGGAGTCAGTGTCCTCCTATCTAAAATGAATGGGTCTCACTAGATGGTCTGTGTTTCCTTCCAGCTCCAGATTTAGGATGATCTTATGACTTCTCTGTGCCTCAGTTTCCTCATCTATCAAATGGGGGGATTAGACGAGATGGTTTCTGGTCTTCCATCAAGCTCTAGTTATAGGATTCTGTGTGTGACCTTCAATGAGTCACTTAACCCTTTTGGGAGTCAACTCTCTCCTCTGTGAAATGAGGGTATTGTATTAAACAGCCCCTGAGGTCCTTCCAACTGGTTCTAGGGCTCAATGGATGGCTTAGGGAAGGCCATGGACAAGATGCCCGTTGAAGAAACCAGTAACATGTAAGTGTCCACACCAATGAGATCATGGAGACAGCCTCAGTAAGACTCATCATCAAGTGGTGGAGGGTTCACTATCTGCACTAGGAAAAGGTGTATTCACATGGATGAATTCAAGGATCCTTAAAATGGTTTAGAATAACATGGATCTATCTCTCCCTAGATCTAATATAGATTAACTTGGCAGGCAGATTTTTTTTTTTTAATCCACCACGACAATTACAAGTTTTTACTGCTTGAAAGTCATACATCATTTTTTTCCCCATAGAAATACTAGTTGAGCAAAGAAGACCAATGAGTCTATTACAAATACTTTCTTATACTGGACAAGGTAAAGAAATTGTAAGCTCTTGGACTCTTGACATCCCACCCCAAATGAACCTAAACATACGCTCATGTCCTGGGTAGTACAGATCTTTACTGAAAATGTGACAGCTGTCTTCTCATTATCATTCACGGACAGCCTTCTTAATCAGCCTTCTGATACCATCACTGGTCCTGTTCAGGGCTAGACAGACTTATGCAGACGCTACTTTCCTGCTTCAAACTGTGCTCTGAAATCTATTCAGTGATAGCAACAATAAATTATACAACAGCAAAATTGTTCCAATGAAGCAAGAAAGTCCATGCATTTTTCCCTGTTTTGTGGCAAGAAAACAATTAAAATGTAGGATACAAGTCAGTAAAAAGCTTTGTTCCGTGAGCTGTTATAAGCCAATGCACAGAAAACATGAGGGTCTATAAAGGGCAAGTGGGCATCTCAATACAACCCATTTCCCACAGATTTTTGGGGGGGTTGGTCATGTTGGGTTCACAAATGGTCAGTCACTAGCCCTAAGGGTCAATGTTTGTCATCTTTGAGGAAGGTCCCTAGTTTTCTAAGCTGTCACCCTGTCACTGGCCACTGGGGCAAGATGGAAGGGCCACAGTTTGTCCTATGGTTGGCTTTCCTAAGAACAGAAGGAAAGGAAAGGAGAGTGTCAACTTAGGCACGATGGTCCACGCATGCTCGAAATGAGGGCTCCTTCTAAAGTGGCTTCACTCAAGTCAAGAAGGGAAAACACAGCCATCTTCCCCCTTCCCCAATTGTTTCCTCACTGGACATTTATTCATCTGTCCTGAAAGGCCTGAACAAGAGTATTTTTGGGGCTACATTTTTATTCCAATATGTAGGTGGCATTTACACACAGCAAACTCTCAATACATTCGCTGAATGAATAAAGGAATGAATGCATATATCTTAATTCGACCTTAAGTTCTGGTCTTAGGAATTCTTGTTTCAGATTTTAGGGTGCCAGCAAGTAAATGTTGTCTCTACATAATTTTCTATGTACACCGTGGTCACTCACTCACTCATTCATTCATTCATTCATTCATCTAGAGCTTTCTACATGTAATAGAGAAATGAGACACGATCCCCACTCTCATGAAGTTTACATTTTGGGGTGGGGCAGATGAAGAAGACATGTACATCAAGAACTAGGACCCAAAATAGAACTTCGATGTTAGGAGAGATCTGAAGAGGAAGACGGCAGCACTGGCTAGTGAGATCAAGGAAGGCTCTCTCCTCGGAGAAGACGGTATCAGAGCTGGGTCTTGAAGGAAAGGTGGGATGTCATCAGGTGAGAGATTGGTAGGCTGAAGGCAAGAAGGACAGAGAAGATGTCCCAGAGCAGGGAAGAGGGTGAGCAAAGGTAAGGAGACAAGACAGCACAGGCTATGTTAAGGGATATGCCAGAGCACAGAGTTTGGCTGAGGTCAAGTGTATGTGAATATTTATAAAAGAGAAATCAAAAGCCACTTTCAATGTTTTTATCTTCAATTTTGCTCCTGGAGGTTATACCTCATTCACTTCCTTCACAATCTCTCCTTCTTTCCATTTGTTCATTCACTATTTCGTTCAGCACACATTTATTAGACACCTACTACATGCCATATAACTGTCCTTGCTGACCTGAAGTGCAAAGATCTCCCAGTGGGGCCATGTTTCTTTGGTGTGTGGAGACTCTCCTGGGAGCTCTTCTTAAGAAATAAAACTAATATCCCCTGTAAATGCTCCAGAGACAAAAAGCAGCTCTGCTGGCAACCAGACTCTGTTTTACGTGAGAGTGCAATGATCATCTGAAATATCTGATTAATCAAGGAAAATTAATTACTAAATCCTTTGTCTAATTCCAAGTTCATAATTCAAATGAATGTTATATGATAAATATTCTGGAGGAATAAAATCTACCCAATTACTTTTTTTGTGAATGAAATAGAAAAATAATTTAATTGTGTAATTACAAAGTTTGATTTTTACCATCAAACATATCTGCCAAGTTTTGAATTTTAAAGAAAACATAACCCTACACTGAGAGGCAGCATAGCATAGTGGGTAAGAGGCCAGTTACGGAGCCAGTAAGGCTCTCGTTCAAATCCTGCGTGGGAGATATTAGCGACGTGACCATGGCCCATCACTTAAACTTTGTGAGCTTTCAGTGCGTTCATCTGTAAAAGTGAGGGCAATGATACCTGTTACATTAGGAAGAGATGACACAAATCTGCAGAATGACCATGGGTAAGTCACTTCACTTCCC